GAGGAGGAGGCGAAGGAGGCGGAGGAGGTGGAGGAGGAGGAGGAGGTGGAGGAGGAGGAGGCGGAGGAGGAGGCGGCGGAGGAGGCGGCGGAGGAGGAGGAGAGGATAATGGCGTATTTTTCTTGCTTGCCAAGACGGCCCCTAACAGAACATCTAGGCCAAACTCCATCCAACCTGCTGCGGTCTCCAGAGTTGCGCGTGGTCTGGTCCCTGCACTCCTGGCCTCCGCAGGCGCGATTGCACTGCGGTGACCTCCCCCCGCGAGTCTTGCAGTGGCCCTGCAGAGGTTATTGATGGCGCGGAGCGGAGCTCCAACCTGTGCATGTATAGCCGGGGCGTCGAGTTTAGTCTTGCTTCCCGAGTGTGCAGGACACTTCGAGGGACCTCAAACAGCAGTCAGACGATTGTCGTCCATCACGAAAGAACATGGCGGCATGGAGCTGAGCGAGACAGCAAATGCAAGGGGGTCGAGACGCAGGGGTGCAGCAGGCCCGCGCCGCGTCGACGCGGCGGCGACGCCAGCGCGGCCGCGCAAGGCTGAAGGCTACTCTGGACGGGGTAATGATCAAGGAAGAGGGTGGGGGGCGATTTACCTTCTGGCGGAGCTTGCCCCTCACGCCCCTTCTCCCCCATCTCCCCCTCCTCCTCCCCCTCATCCTCATCGTCGTCCTCCTCCTCCCCACCCTCATTCCCCTCCTCCTCCTCCTCCTCCTCCTCCTCCTCCTCCTCCTATTCCTCTCCTCCTTCTCCTCCTCCTCTCCCCCCCCTCCTACCCCTCCCCTCCTCCTCCTCCTCCTCCTCCTCCTCCTCCTCCTCCTCCTCCTCCTCCTCCTCCCCTTCCTCCTCCTCCTCCTCCTCCTTCTCCTCCTCCTCGTCGTCCTCCTCCTCCTCCTCCTCGTCCTCCTTCTCCTCCTCCTCCTCCTCCTCCTCCTCCTCCTCCTCCTCCTCCTCCTCCTCCTCCTCCTCCTCCTCCTCCTCTCCTCCTCCTCCTCCTCCTCCTCCTCCTCCTCCTCCTCCCCTCCTCGTCCCCCTCATCCTCAGCGTCGTCGTCCTCCTCCGCCCCCGCTCCTCCTCCTCCTCCTCCTCCTCCTCCTCCTCCTCCCTCCTCCTCTTCCCCGTCCTGCTCCTCCTCCGTCTCCTTCTCCTCCTCTTCCTCCTCCTCTCCTCCTCCTCCTCGTCGTCCTCCTCCTCCTCCTCCCCCTCCTCCTCCTCCTGCTCCTCCTCCTCCTCCTCCTCCTCCTCCTCCTCTTCCTCCTCGTCCTCCTCCTCCTCCTCCTCCTTCTCCTCCTCCAGTGTATGGTTTCCGGCATCTGGTGTCCGGTGTCCGGTGTCCGGTGTCCTGTGGCCGGTGTCTGGTGGCCGTTTGGTGTCCTGTGTCCAGTGTTTAGTGTCCGCGCGCGGTGTCCGGTGTGTCCGGTGTCCGGTGGCCGGTGGCCGGTGTCGGGTGGCCGGTGGCTTGTGGCCGGTGTCCAGTGTTTGGCGTCCGGTGTTTGCTGTCCGGTGTTTGGTGTCCAGTGTGCAGTGGCCGTTGTCCGGTGGCTGGTGTCCAGTGTCCGACGTCTGGTGTCCCGTCGTGCGGCGTTGCGTCCGGTGTCCGGACGTTACGTGTAAGATGCCTCGTGTGCGGTGTCCTGTGTTGGCGGCCGGCGGGTGGCGACGAGTGTAGGATATCCGCGTTGTCCGACGCCCGTTGTCCAGTATTTGGTGTCTTGTATTTGCTTTGTCCTGTGGCCATGGGGAGTTCGAAATCAAGTTATGAGCGGGAGGGCGGGTGTCCGAGGTCTGGCGTCAAGTGTCAGGCAGGGAAAGGCGAGGAGGAAAAGCAGAGCAGGAATAATGAGAATGAAAAGATGGGGAGGGAGAGCCCCAAGTGGATCCCCTAAAGGGCCCCAAGACGCAAATATCATGACCCCCCTTGTGCTTTCAAGATGGCCAATGTTCTTCGAGGTTCGGGCCCCCCGCAGCTTCAGGCCCCAACGGACTGAGAGATTGCTGGAAAACTGCTTAAGAGGCCCCAGTCACGGCCCCAACACTGTCCAAAACGCTACCATTTTGCGACTCAGGAAAGCCTCCAAATGAGCCCAAGAGAGCTCCAAGGCGGGCGAGAAAGTTTCGAGAGGGTCCCATGGAAATCCAAGACGGCCCGAAGTGGCCTCGCGACGTCCCCAGGGGGCCCAAGAGAGCCCAGGAGGACCCCAGCCCCCGAGAAGGCCCCGAGACGCAAACGTCATCGACCCTCCCTGCAATTTTCAAGGCTTGGAGCGTTCTTCCAGGCTCGGGCCTGCAGCAGCTTCAGGGCGCACCGCGGGCCCCCCGAAATGGCCCGACGACGGCCCAAGAGGCCTCCGAGAGTGCCGACTGACGGCCTCCAAGAAGGCTGCAAGACGGTCCCACACGGGCGCCGACGCCCCCCAAAATAGCCCCCAAACCGGCCCAGGCAAACCGCGCAAGGACCACAAAGACGGGCTCCAAAGAGCTCCAACAGCGGCCCAAGGAGGTCCGAGGAGGACCCCAAGATGGCGCGCGTGTTCCTCTTCCTCCCCCTCTCCTCCCTCCGCCTCCTCCGCCTCCTCCTCCTCCTCCTCGTCGTCCTCCTCCTTTTCCTCCTCCTCCTCCTCCTTCCGTCCCCTTTTCCACTTCTCCCATCGTTCTTCCGAATGCGGCCGTTGACCTTCTTCCCGTATTTTGTTTCTAGCATGCGCGTTTGTCTCAACCTTTCAACCAATGTATCCATCCGGCGAGCCCTTTACGCGAAGCATGAACGCGCAGAGTCCAACTACGAACCACCGCCGCTCAACAGCGCCGTAGTCGCAACGAACACAGGCACATCCAGCTATGGGCCAGCGGAGTGCACGAATGGATTGAAGACGTATCAGAAGATGGGCAGTGGTAGTTGATTGGAAAGTATGTGTCACGCATGATGAGCAAAAGAAATAGCGAGTGGAACCGTCTCTTCACCCCAACCTTAAAGTGCACCGCCATCCCCATCCCATCCCACACGCTCATAACATGAACCCCGCACATGATCCCAAGCCAACACCTTGACCGAAACTCAAGCCCTTCGCGCGAACCGAACGGTAACCCTCAACCCGAACCCTGAATCTCACCGTCGCCCTAAACATCACCCGGGCGACTCCAACGTAGGACCCATAGGGAACCGTCGGGAGATTAATTTCTGGGGGGCGCCGAGGAATTCACACCCCAACGCAACCAAAAGAAAAATGCGAGAGCCCTGATTGTACAAGAACTGCAGCAACACTCGAATAGTAGTTGTACTAGGAATTGTACTGGTACTACTTGCACTCCATTGCTGCACTCTCATAGCGATACGAATTGCGATGCGCTATTCGCTGCATCTTAAAATTAATTGCACTGTAGGGCCAAGTGCGCTCTGGGAGCAACTGCGCGCTAATGCATGAGAGTACCAGTTCTCGGCGCGTTCTCCGACGCCTACGTCTCCGATGCAGGCGTCGGAGAACGCGCCGAGACACCGCCTCGTTGTTCCTGAACAGCGCGCGCCTTGCCGAGCCCAAGTCCCAGCTCGACCAACCTCCGTCCATGGCCTGCTCGTCTTCCGGTGCCGCTGGTGCTGGAGCAGCGGCAAGCTCACTTCCGTCTGGTATGTCTTCAGCATGGACAAGTCCGTCCGGTAGTGGTATTCCAGCTCCTGGAGCTGGGTCGTTGGCCGCTGCGAGGAACTGGGCGTCGTCGGCCAGGTGGTTGTGGACCCACCTCGGTAGCCCACCTGCATTGTCCGGCGACAAGCGTAGGACCTGGCGCTGTCTCTGGCCTTACTCGGGCGCACTGTTGACAACTCCAGGTCCATACTCCAGGCGTCGCCAGCCTGCACTCTCCAGGTATGCGCGTGTGCGCCACGTGGGTGCCGTTGCACGCTCTGCAGCTCCATTCAGAGTGTGCTCACCGTCCCGCACGCGCTTGACGAACTCTAGCTTCAGCTGGAGGCCCGAGAGCTTCGCTCTCGGGAGTCGCCGCCACCGCGGGCGCTGGCTGCGCCGCGGGGATGGAGTCGTCTGTACTCTTGGCGGTGATGCGCCTCCGTGCTGCTGGCCCCGGCGCGGCCGGAGACGACGGGTCGGCAGAACCCGCTGCGTCCCAGGGCGGCTACGCCCACGGCGGCCACCACGGTTCTGGCTCGTCCGCTGGCGCCGTTGCAGCAGACCCAGGATAGGCCGCCTCGCTCTGCAGGTAGCGCGTCACCTCCTGAGTCGCTTCTTCGGAGATGTAGTCCATGATGCCGTTCGCGATGGAGACTGCGAATGACCAGGGCCACAGCCTGGCCCACTCCGTCTCCTCTCTGCCTTCGATCGTCTCGTGCTCATGTCCGCCGTCGCACTGAAACATCGCCGTGTGCCGTAGTAGAGCCTCGTGTGATGCCGAGAGCTCCGTCATCTTCCTCATTGGTATTCCAGTTTAGCTTCTCAAGCCTGCCATGCACTGATCCACCATGGCGTACACAACTCCAGGATACACCGCAACTCGCCGCCACGATGGTTCATGATACAGCTTGGACCCAGCTGGACTCTCATCAGTAAAACCTCGTCCGCGCTCCAGCTGGTAGAGGGCCACCTCTCCGCACAGGATGACCAGCGGCTGGCACCTCTCGTAGCTCCCCGCACAGCTGTCCCTGGCGTAGAACACGTGAATGCTCGAGAAGCGGCCGTAAGGAGTACAGGGGGGAGCCATTACCACGACCATCACACCACGCTCCAAATAGCCTCAGAGGGACCACTGTTCGTCCGCATTCCGAAGATCTGAGCCGCACAAGGTATCGAAACTGGGTATGACTCGACATTTCCTGCCAAAGCAGATGCGACTGTCGTAGCCTCATCCCTCGCAGATCTCCAGAACGTCCATGCCGGACGTCGTCTTCGCCAGGAAGGCAACAAGATGTGTGAGATCGGCGGCCCGGCGGACTCCTGGGTACCACGTAGCTCTATCGTCGCCTGCGAGTCCGCGAAGACAAGAGGCATAGCATCCACCATCGTAGAACTCTTCCTCGGTGAAGGGCACGAGGTAATCTTCGTCATCTAAGTACGTCTCGTATTCCTCGTAGATCGCGAAGAGCTCGCTGCTCATGCCCAGCTCCTTGATGTAATCTCTGCAGTCATCGAATCGACTCTCAAACTCGAACTTCTTCCTCTTTACTTCTTTCGGCTTGTCGACCAGGGCCTTCATCTTGGCGTGCATCCTGGCCTCGGTCGGGTATGAGCTCTCCTCTTGGCGGATGTTCGTAATCGTAGCCAGCTTGGTTTTTGATTCTGGTGGTGAACGGTTACCCTCAATATCGATGGCGTCGTTGATCTCCCGAAACATCGCCACCATGTTCTGTAGATGTTGCTCGTCTCGTTGCTGCTTCCGCTGGTCGCTGCCTGATGGGCTCCTCCAGTCGCTTTTGTGCCGTCGTCCCACGCCCTGGCACGCGCGTCGACCACATTCAAGCGTCACGCTTGAATGTGGTCGACCTGGTCGCTCCACCTTGCTCGCCAGACTCGTCTGGAAGAGAGGGCACGTCGAAGGAGCACCAGTGGATGTCCGCCTCGCGGTGCACCTCAGTCCGCAACCGCATAACCGTCGGATCTGCCCAAATGGCGCTGCCACGTTCAGCGATCGGCATAGCGGCCCCACCTCGGGCCGCTTGAGCTCGAACGCACTCCTCCAGACACCGTAGTCGTTGTTATGGGCGCTGTCCTCCACGGCGCCCTGGTAGGCCCAGAGCAATCGAAACCGTCCTTCCGTGAGCTGCCATGTGAGGTCTCGAAATTCTTTACCCTATACCTCGCCGCAGGCCAGCACTTGAGCGATTGGCCAGCCTCCTTCTCTTGCAGCTCTCATCGTCGTGGCCAGACCGAGACGGTGACCACGAACCTGTACTTGTTGCGGCGTCGCCTTCTGGCGTCCAGCAGCTGCTCCGGCCGCCGCGAACGGAGCTCTGCACCCTCCTTGGTGCTCTGACAGCCAGCGGCTCATCCTCGAAGCGAACCTCCATGTGAACCGTCTCCTGCTTGAGCGCCGCCGCGGGCTTGAAGGCGGATGCCGCCCTGGCTCTCGCGCGGCGCGCCGCTCCCTGCCCCGAGCTGCCTGGTGCAACTTCGTATCCCGTGACACCGGGACCTTGGCTGCCTTGGTCCTTGGGCCTCGTCTCGGTCTCGGTCTCGACCATCACGGAGTCGAGCTGTTCGGGCCTCGGTTGCAACTTGTCGATCATGTATCCCGTCGCCTTCGTCGCGGCAACCGCCTTGAACTTCGAGCACGGGAGTAGCCAGTGCTCGCTCCTACTGGCCTTCAGGTGGTAGTTCCTCGTACCGGCAGGTAACGACAGCTCTCGACGTCCAGGCCTGCGTAGATGTAGAATGCCAGGGCCGCACTCCGTGATCGCGTCAAGCTTTTCAGGGAACTGCTTCCAAGCAGTACCAGAACGTCGCTGTCAGGGATGACGTGCGCCGCGTACGACTCCGGGATTGCCGGCGCCTTCGCTCTCTTGGCTGATCTCCTGCTTGCCGATCGGTAATCGCCACTGCTGGGCAGTTGTCGGGGCCCTTGCCGACGCCGTTGACCTCCAGGAGTTTGTTCAGCATCATCTTTTCGGTGCTGTGGCCAAAACCCGATGCCTTGGCTGCCTGCTGCTTGGCCCACCGATCCCCTACGAGGTTCCCGTGAGCTCCAGGGTCGACAAGTATGTCCATTTCCCCGTTGTCACTCCTCGTCCGTTCATGGCCGAGGTAGTGCGCTTCGCTTTCCTTGTTCGGCGTCCAGACAACCCCGTGGAAGTCCTCGTTGTCGGCGAAATCGCTGCTCTTGTTCTGGTCGTAGCCCTCGCGCTCGACCCCCTCATCCAAGTCGCGCTTCTCCTCGTCATCGAGATAACTGTCAAACTCGTCGTCGAAGATCGAACGGCCCACCTGCTGCTCTGCGACGACGGCTGCGTGAGTCTCGTCGCCAGGTGAACTCGAGATCTGTTCCCAGCTGACCGCCGTGCCGTTCGCGCTCGGCGGTGTAACCGACGCTTTCGGCGGAACTGCTGTGAAGGTGAGGCCGCCGATGCTAGAGGCCTCCTGCTGGGGTTCCTCCTCGTAGACGTCGAACCTTCTCAGTCCTCTCGGCATTGTCGGTGTTGCTGTCGGCGTAGCTGCTTTCGGTAAGACCATGCCTGGCGGCGGGGCTGGAGGACTTAATGGCTTGGCCCCAGCGGCCTCTCTAGCAGGCGTCAAGATAGAAGAAAGACCACGTATTTGGTCGATTCCAAAGGATGGCTTGTCTGGCGTGAGTCCTGGAAGCTCGGCATGCCCATTGTAGGAAAGGATGGTCCTCCACTCGCCGACGATGCGGACCCGCTCGGTCTCTAAGGGGGCTCCCTTGTAGCGCTCGGCAGGACTGCCTTGGGTCCGTCTTCCAGCTCACGTCGATCCTCAATCGCCATCTTTGGCTTTGCCACAGCCGATGCGATCACAACTCCGACAAATCCTTTCGAGCCTGTCACGCTCGCCTTGCTACCAGGGGCTTCCGGCGTTTCGTCGGTCACGATGCTCTCTGCCGCGAAGAAGCTGATGGCTCCAGAGCCGCAGGCTGGCGCTGACGGTGCGCGCGGAAATGTCGCGGCTGCCGCAGATGAGTTGGCCGCAGCGCCTGCGTTGAATCCAAGCCATGGTACACCTTAGGCGATGCTTAAGAAAACTTACGTTTTCGGCCAGAGTCTCGACTATTCTTAACGTTTCAATGTAAATCTTAAGATTTAATAGAAATGTTGGGTTTTTTATTCAAGTTCTGAGACTATGAATTTCTTAACCCATGAATTCTTAAGCATTTCGCGGGGTGTACTCCAGCGCTGGTTCCAGCAACCGGGCGAGGTCCGTCGGTGATGAGTGATCCTTCCCCTTCCGATGCCCCGCCTCGACGGCGCGGGCGGTCCTTCACCAGATGGAGCTCGCTCTCGCATCCCTTCGTCAAGCACTTCATCACCTTGCCATCTTGACCAACTGGACTGCGTCTGACTTTTCCTTCGAAGCGGTAACCCTCGCCTCCATGTCCTCGCTGTCCGACGGGCCCTCGCAAGGGCATCAGTGATCTTTTTCCGCTCTTATCTTTACTAAAACGCTTGAAGCGTGTAGGCCGCCCTGTGAATCTCCTCCAGTGCTTCTTGTGGAATGCGTAGTTCTGGTAGAGGTACTGCTGGATCACATCGTCGTCCTTACCCATGGTGCCGGGGAAATCCGATCCGTCCAGGTCCTCGCCGTCGTCTTCGTCTGTGTCCGTGTCGTTGTCTTCGGCGTTGTCTGAACCCAGGAGGTTGGCCCACGGGTCGGGATGTACCTGCCATCGGCGACTATGGCACCGAAGGACTCCATCCCGATCCTTGGGCTTCTTGAGTGGCAGGGTAAGCTCCGGCCGGTGTCATGCCGCTTCCCGTTCCAAATCCAAAGCCTCCATCCTGTCCTCCTCCGCCACCGTGGTTGAAGGTGGGGAAGAAGAAATTGCCGCCTCTGTAACCGCCTTTGCCACTGCTCCTGTTGACTGTGATCGGTCCCTTCTCCAGGATGTGTCCGCGCCTTCTGATGTACTCGACCAATTCGTTGAACTGCTGCTCTGTCCTGGGTAGGTGGCCGCCGAAGTGAATGAGTAATTCGTTCCATTCTTGAGGGCTGCAGTTGAGCGTTCAGCAGCACCCGCGCGTAGCCCTGCGGGCCCATGTTGAATCGTCCCACTGTCATTGCCCTCCTGCGTGTAACCTCGAGCCACGATGGCGTCTCGTCTATGTTATCGTGGTTCTTCCGATCGAATCCCCACAGATCGCGGGTCGCACGCAGCGCGCCCTCGCCGCCCAGCGGCGCGAACGACTTTGACAACACAAGTAGAAGCAGCTGGAAACCACTCAGCTGCCTCGCTCCGTTCCCGTCGCCTGGGTCTGCGGATGCTCCGTCACGTGGCTGCTCCTGTGCCATCTCCCTTGCCAGGCTGCGCGCGGCGCCTCCCAGTCGCAAGGCCACTGCCTGTCTTTGTTGTTCTGGAAGGACTTCTCGCGCCACCGCCGCCGCCCACATCATCGCGTCCGTGAGTCAGAACCTGAACGGGCAGGCCCTGTCCTGTTCGGGACTCCATGCAGGCGGAACCTTCCGGGGGCCCACCACCTCGAGCTGTGCGTTCTCCATCTTGTCCGGGAGGAGCAGTCCAGCCAGGGGCAGTGCCGGAAGGTGTCCGGCCAGAAGCCGACCCCGTAGTCCGAGCCGTGGTTGCATTCCACCTCGATGGAAACCACCTGTTCGCCGTTGGTCACCTCGATGACCTGCTCTTGGCTGGAGACGTCCAGCCATCGTCTCGCAGTGGTGGTGCTGGGGCCTCCAGTCCGTGGTGGACCAGAGCTCCGCTACCAAGTCGAGAGGCCTTTCCTGCCGACGCTGGCGCCGCAGCCTCACCAGCTCTCTCCGATGTCCGCGCCCTCGGGCGCAGGCCCGCGCCGCAGCGCGCAAGCCTCAGTCGCTCGGCCTTGAGCTAAAGCAGGCGCAGCGGGTCGCCATGCTCGCTCGTGCTGCCCTTGCTCCCCACGTCCCACCCCAAATGGCGGCTCTTGTGGAGGCGCGGCGATTCTGGTCCGCTCGTTCCTTGGGCTTCATTCTTTGGGAAAGACAGGTCTCCATGAGGTCAGGGCTTTAGGAGGAGTTGTTCAGCTTCCAGGTGGCGCCAGCATCGCAGTATGCAGCATCTATTTGTTGCACGGAGCCGGGTTGTCTGAGCCCAACGCATCTGTGCTGCGCAACGCGGGTGAGTTCGTAACGCCTCCTGGTTTGCCATGGCTCTTCGGAGGCGACTCCAACTTCGAACCAGCCTCCCTGCGCGACAGCGACTTCCTGGCCGCCGCTAAAGGTGTCCTGCTGGTCCCATCTGTTCCGACTCGCTCCACCACAGGAGGCATGCGAACGAATGATTATTCTGTAGCCAGTCGCGGGCTCGGCCAAACGGTGAAATCGATCCTCTTGGACGGGGGGGTCGGACCTCGCCCCCCCCCCCGCCCCGCCCCTCCTTGCGATGTTTTTCCTTGGATCGCCTCCCTGAGAGCCATGGCTTTCCAGAGGCCGCCTCGGACTCGCCTCGATCGTTTGATTGGGCCCGCGCTCGAGCCTCCCAATGAAGATCGAGTGAGGGCTGATCTTACTGAGGTGTTGGGGCACGCCAGACGGGGAAAGGGGAAGGCTACGCAGGACGGTCTTAACCGTGCTTACAAGGCCTGGGCGGACAAGGCTGAAGTTGAGCTTTGTAGAGTTGCCGACGTTGAACTTCCTCGCATGGGCCTCAGGGGGCCCCAGCCTAAATTCGCAGGGGATTGTTTTCGAGGCTGACATGAGTGGAGTTCGCCACCCCGACCTCTACTCCACTCGCT